TGGACATTAGGAAGAACTTCTTCACAGTTAGAGTGGCCAAGGTCTGGAATGGGCTCCCAAGGGAGGTGGTGCTCTCCCCTACCCTGGGGGTCTTCAAGAGGGGGTTAGATAGGCATCTAGCTGGGGTCATCTAAACCCAGCACTCTTTTCTGCCCATGCAGGGGGTCGGACTCGATGATCTATTGAGGTCCCTTCCGACTCTAAAATCTATGAAACTATAAGGCTTTATCAAAAGCCTTGCTAAAATTAAGGTATACCACATCCACTGGTCTCCCCGCATCCACAGAGCCAGTCATCTCATCATAGAAAGCAATCAGGTTGGTCAGGCCTGACTTGCCCTTGGTGAATCCAGGCTGACTGTTTCCAATCACTTTCTTCTCCTCCAAGTGCTTAGAAATTGATTCCTTGAGGATCTGCTCCATGATTTTTCCAGGGACTGAGGTAAGCCTGCCTGATCTGCAGTTCTCTGGATCCTCTTTTTTCCCTTTCTTAAATATGGGCACTATATTTGCCCTTTCCAATCATCCAGGACCCCTCCTGATTGCCATTAGTTTTTAAAAATGATGGCCGGTGGCTCTGCAATCTCATCAGCCAACTCCTTCAGCACCCTCAAGTGCATCCCATCCAGCCCCATGGACTTGTGCAAGTCCAGCTTTTCTAAATAGTCCCTAACCTGTTCTTTCACCAGTTGTCTGCTCACCTCCTCCCCAAACTGTGCTGCCTGGTGCAGTAGTCTGGGAGCTAACCTTGTCTTTGAAGACAAGAGGCAAAATAGGCATGGAGCACTTCAGCCTTTTCTGCATCCTCTGTCACAAGGTTGCCTCCCCATTCAGTAGGGACCCAACACTTTACCTGATCCTCCTCTTGCTACTTCCATATTTGTAGAAACCTTTCTTGTTCCCCTTCACATCCCTTGCTTGCTGCAACTCCAATTGCACTTTGGCCTTCACGATATCATCCCTGAATGCCTAAGCAATACCCTTATAATCCTCACTAGTTATTTGCCAAAGTTTCCGCTTCTTATAAGCTTCTTTTTTGTGATTATTTTACTGAAGCGTTCCCTGCTAAGCCAAGTTGGTCTTCTGCCATACTTGCTAGTCTTCCTGCACATTGGGATGGTTTGTTCCTGCAAAGCATTTAAGACTCCTGGCTTGATAAGAGCAAGGACTACCAGGGCAGCCACATCAAGAAACTGAAATATAACTACCATCTGGCCTCTGCATGCCAACAATACACACAAACTTAGGTTAAATGATATGGACCAAGTCTTCAACTGGCATGTATCAACATGGCTCCACTGGAGTTATACCAGTTTGCAGCAGATGGACGATCTGGGCCTGTTTGCATTCATGACGGTCTAATACTGCTTTCTAACATTAGTTAATAATTACTGCAAAAAACAGATTTTGAAGTTGTACTTGTGTGGGCCGACAGAGCGATACTGGGAAGAGTAATTTCTTACTGGTAAATTGGCTTCTTTCATGCAGCAGTATGTTATATGTTCAAAGTGTAGTACCAGCATCACTCATTAAACCATAGCTCTATCATAGCCATTTATAAGCAAATATGGAAATAAATTGAAAAACAATTATATTTATCAGGTTCAGGTCAGTGGTTCCCAGTGTGTGGTTGCCAAAACAGCTATAAATTATGGCTATACTTAGAAAGTTGGCTAGCTAATAATGTCTTTAACATTCAATCAGACAGTATCTTGATACTGGTTTTCTTTGTGTACATCTGTTAAGCCACTGGGGGCCAACCTTTTTGGCAGGTGTGCCACAAGTTCAGCTCCACACCTTCTCCAAATGCCAACCTAATCCCCTTCTACCTCCTGCCCTATTGCTTAGCTTTCCACTCCCTACTCTGTGCTCCTAGCACAATCCACTGCCACAGAGCTGGACCTGTGGGGAGCTCTGAGAACCAGATAAAGTTAGTATTTGAACAGAAGTCTTCAGCACTGGGCAATATTTCACTGGCGTGCCATGTCACACCGGATTCAGTGTGGGGTCAGTCCAAAGCGCAGTGTCATGCCACAGCTGGATCCAGGACAGAGCGGGACCAGTGCGCTGCAACACACCAACCCTTGCTGGATCCAGCCCACAAAAGATCAACTCCCACCCACAGAATCCAGCCTGGAGGCTGGGCCCATGCCACTCATCCAGCCAGCTACAAGGCTGAGCACCACTGAGCTAAGGCATTGTCTGGCATGAGGCTCCTAACATCTCTACTTCAGGCTCCAGTTTTCTGTTTTGTTTTTCTGGTTTTGCTACCACTCACATTTTGAGGACTTCAGAAATCGGATCTGCAGAGGACAGGATGGAACAGTCAGTTTGAAATTGTTGTATAAGGTATAGAAGTCAACACACATAAAGTAATTGGTTGTTAAAAAAGCCTCTGTAAACCCTATAATAAATAAATGCAGACTCTGCTATAACAAGAAAGACAAATCGCACTGTTTATAGGCCACAATTTGAAGATCAGTTTTCCAAAAAATCTTATTATACACTTAGTTAGGCTGTCTTCTCATGTTATACAAGATCATTTTAATTCAGCATTTTTGAGAAATGTAATAATTTAAAAATTAAGTTTCTGAATTTGCAATTAACTTGGTAATTTACCTATATTTTTATAGTTCTTTATATAACAGTGTCCTTTGTTAAGCTATTTGGAGAGGCTTAAGAATGCTCTTTTATTAATGTTCATCATCGGTCCTGTATGCATCTGAATTATAGATAGTTTCTGATTATTTTCCTGACACTTACGAAAATGGTAAAATTGATATGAACTTCCAAAATATTGTGTTTTTGCGTGTTTTAAACCCAACATGTTTGAAGAAAACAAAGTATAAATATTACTTTAAGTCAGTTTTAATATAGCATGACAGCAGTGACCTTTTTTATTTAAAGTGTTCATTAATAATCCTTCAGATATTTAAACATTCAGCATTTTTATGCAAGATAAATTTCACAATTTCATAATTTTCACAAAAAATTGCATCTATCTGCTGGTCATGCCACTAATAAGTATTAATCCAGGTTTCTACATATAGCTATTCTAAATGCTTATTGAGAAGCTTGTGAGTAACATAAAACCTGTACTGCAAGCATACTTTCTTGTGATAGGAGTAATGCAAAACAAAAATTCCCTAAATAGCTGCACTAAAAAAGGAAATGGGGCTCAAGTGGTATTTCCCATTTTTCACTTCTGAAAGCAGAACAATATGTACTATAGTTAAGCAAATGTCACTATCCACATCAAAAAAACATAATGAAAACAAAACACACACACAAATTTGACACTACGGTAACAACTAAATTTCACAAAAATATTGAAACTGTAAGAAAGTGTGTGTCACATCTTTGATGGCATATCTAGATATGACATGCTAAAGTTATAATTTATGCAATTTAGTTATTCAGCTAAGAGATGGAACTTGTACTAACCATTTGTCTTTTGAAATTGTTCAATTTATTTCAAAGTTGGGAAAACAGAATAATTTTGGATCTCTAATATTTGGAGTGTTAGGTAAGGTACTAAGTAGGGTGAGAGTTGAAAAGATCTTCATTACTGACCTATTCAAAAGAACGTGTTATTTCAAGTATTTAAGTATAAAGAAATCAAGCAAATGTTAAATCTAATTAATTTACTAAATTAATGGTAGAAAGAATTTAAAAAAATAGTACCTTCTTTTCAGTGGGACTTGAAGTCTTTGAAACTAATGCTGCTTCGACAAGACCCTGCTCAAGTAAGGAGTCATATTTTATGCTTCTTTTTCTATTTCTCCGCTCCTTGTTTGCTGTTTTTTGTTCATTTTCTTCTGACTGGGACACTTCCGCACCATTGTCTCCACAAATGGAGGATTCGAATGAAGGTTTTCCATTCATGTAAGTTTTAGTGATTTTCAGCTTAATTTCTGGAGAGCCATTCTTGATAGGAGTAGTGTTGGGTGGTGTTCCAACTCCTTTTATTTCTTGAGGCTCAAAGCGCAGCTTGGCATCTTGGGTCCCAGATTCCCCGTTAAACACACGAGAAGTTAGATCTTTCAATTTATCAGCTGGAATAAACGGGAGAGCATCGTGGCCATTATATTTTTGCATGACGCCTTCCTGTAGAGTGGCAGAAAGCTGTGCTTTGCCCAAGTAGACAGAGCACTCACGATTCACTTCACAATTCTGTGTTTTCCCATTGGCATTTCCAAGGATCTCTGGTACCTGCTTCATTTTGATGTGGTTAATTTTTCGTGTTAACAGCGGAGAACTTCTTTTGACGCTAAAGTCCATTCAGCCTTGATGTTTCCAGTCTTACACTGCTATAATACAAACAAAAGAAAAGAAGATGTTTAGAATGTAGAAAAATAAGAGTGAACACAAAGTAATTAAACGTCTTGTTAAAGATGCCTGTATAGGCATAATCTGCAATCTATACTTAAAAATATATTCCAATTTTAAGAATGGACACATTCTACCGACAAGAGCTTCTGTTAGCACAGAAACTGCTGGTTACATTTGCAACACCACACTAATTTCACTAAGTATGCTTTGGCAATGTGCAAACAGAGCAAAATTAAAATGTTTTAGTTTTCATTTTAAGCAACTACAGCCCAAATTCTGCTCATACCACTCACAAAGCAGAGCCATTTACACCTTGAAACCATGCCTTTGAATTAAAAGAAGTTTGACCTAGAGACACTAATAGCAAAAACTGGCAACCTCCATTTTAGTAAAGCCAACCAGACTGGAACTCCCACAAACCAATGTTTCTAATGTATTCAGTGAATGGCTGCATCAAGGGCATGGCAGAAGCTTCTTCACAGTGCACTGCAAATGGGCACTACACCTTCCATCAAAGCACTACCCCTAGGGAGGTATTGCAGCTCAGTCCTCACACTTAATCCTAAACTTTACAGTTAAAAACTGTCAGTAAGAGATGTCAATTAATTTCACTTGTAGTGGTAGTTTTATGGTGGGGACATCATCTATGGGGACCTGGATGGATGTCAATTAAGATTACTTTCCTCAAAGCATAAAACAACAAAAACCCACTTCATCTGTAAATTTAACATGACTATACATCACTTTGTAATATCGATTTCTCACCCACCAAGGTAAGATGCTTAAGCAAGTGAAACTACATGTTTTTACAATCAGATATAGAAAGATTTCTAAAAGTTACGAGAGTTAAACCAGCACTTTCAAACAATGCATTAGGCCCTGCCCAATCACAAAATAAACAGAATAAAGCCATCTGTGCGGGCCGGGAGCGCCCCAAGCCCTTTTTCGCGCTGCACGCGGGCTGTGACCAGCAGCCCGGGCACGTGGGGGCGGAGAGGGAAGGCCTTCACTCTGGAATTAGGCACGGACGCGTATCGGTAGTTTAAAAGATTGTTTACTTACACCGAGATGGCAATGGTGTAGGCTGGAAAGCTTGATTAAGTTGCAGTTACAGAAAGAGAAAAGAAAACAAAAACTCGAACCTGCAGAACACGAGGGTACGTCGCATAGGGTTCCGGCGACGGGAAGAGGAAAATACGAGGGTACGTCGCATAGGATTCCGGCGACGGGAAAATAAATCTGCAGGACTTGAACCCGGGTAGAAGAGCTCTGAGGCCGATCGTAAGGGCTCACACGAAGTTTGTTAGGCTCCGTGGGTTCTTCCGTTCACTCATCCACACGAAGTTTGCTAGGCTCCGCGGGTTCGGTTCGTAGCGCGCGGGAGGGGTACGTCTAGGAATTCTATCGGCGACGGGGAGAGGCTAGAGATTGATCAGATCTCCGTTGCCTGCTTCAAATGCACTGGGTCCGTGAGGATCCGCAGCGCTTAGAGATCTTCACACAGCGTGAAGTCTCCTCCTCCCTTGTTCGTGGAGTCCTCCAACTTGGGCAGAAACCACTCAAGCCTCTTATACGGCTAGCAAGCCAATCACTAGCCGCCACGTGTGAATAATTTAGAACTGGCCAATAATGGGACTCGAATTAGCATACCAATGGCAGGAACTCTTTGCAACGAGCATCCCCTCTCTGCAGCAAAGAAATGCACCCTGCAAAACAAGCTCCAAATTGGCGGGAAATTCTCCCTTGCACCGGGGTTCTCCTCTGCAGCAGAAAACTCCACTGTGCAAGGAAGCTGCAATTTAGCGGGGACAATTTAGCAGTGCCAAAGCACACACAAATAAAAATCACACCTTTTGGGTTGTGACACCATCTACCCACAGAGTAGCCAAGTTCCTATGCGACTATATCAAAGCAGAATGACTCTGTCGAGATGCCCACTCAGTCCAATATCTGACAGTTTCAAAAAAGCTGTGAGAAAACCAATAATGGACAATTATAGAATTGCTCCCTGCTATTCAAAAATTTTCTTCTAAAAGCCTGTCAGTTAGCAACTGGCTTTAGGCATGAAAACTGATACTACTTTGTGAAAAATCAGTGTCAGTGCTGGTTTTTTACTCAGTTCCCTCCACGGATGCTCACCTGAATTACACTCTGGTCACTGCTACGTCAGGCATGTGTAGACTGAGTATGCAGGATAATGCAGAGCTACCCTAGCTAACTTTAAAAGGATTTTGTTTGAATACCAACAACAATCTAGCTGAGGCAGCAGGTTGGTACAAGCTAATACCAGCACACCCTACTTCTAGGCTATTTCTATGTAGTTTTAAAGCTAGCTCAGAAATCTCTGCACTGAAGAATAGGCATACTCTTAGCAGCTTCACCAGTTATTTTGTGAATTACTGGCCTTGCTTAGGGCTACAATGGGAATAGCCACTCCTCCTGTGATCCACAGCTAACAGTTGCAGCAGACAATAGTATGGTATCAGGTAGCTATTTTTCTAAATCTCCATCTGCTGTAATGTTTGACAAGTTTATATACTTTTAATTGAAATCCCATTTTCAGTGTTTTATTATGTAGTTATCCCTGACCTGTCTCAATTTTAAGTTACCCCTTTTTAAGCTAACATAATTTTTGCTATGATAATTTAAGGCTATGCAAAAAGAATTTTTGTTCAAAGTAGTTGTTAGATATAATGCTCTTGAAAAAAATCCAGAGCAGACAATCACTGTTCCAGTCTAAATGAAGATCTAAAATGACTATAGGCCTGAAGACAAGATGTTACCTGCACATGACCTCCTAATAGGATGGGGGGGAGGGACAAGCATCAAGAGTCAGGTGGGAGCCAAGGTGAACAGTTTTTTGGGGTTTTTTGAAGGTTAAAAAAATACTTATCAGAATCTTACATTCAACTGTGGTTATGGGAAAAAAGCAGCGTTTGCATCCCATAAACTATCACTTCCCCTCTAGCAAGTAGAAGTCGTCACATATGAATTATCACAAATACGCTCCCATGCAAAAGCATTCTCTCAATGGTATCTTCTGAAGGAGTGAAAGACTTCGATTTGCAAAACACTACTGTGAACACAATTTATATTCAGTAGCTGATAAATCAGAATGATGAACAATGCTGCAAACACTCAGTGAAAAGAAGCTGGATTTAGAAAAACTAAGGACAGAGTTAAAAATAAAAGGAAAGGAGATGAAAAAAGAAATAAAATAAGTACAACCAAAAGGAAAAGCTTGTAGAGGTACAGATAGAGGTTGAAAAAAGCCAAAGCCCATGCAAGCTCAGAAACTCTACTCTAAAAATGAAGGTTCCACTTTTGAGTCAAATAAACCTTAAAACCCATTTTGTATGAGTTAGTACTTTCCAGTGTTTCACATTCTGATTCAGATTTCTTACCATAAATTGCTTCTCACAGTAATAATAATCACAGCCAAATTACACAAATCAATCAACACAAGGAAGCATAGCCATTACAGAATAAACTAGGAAGTCCAAGATTATTGCAATGGCAATAACATTTGCATTTGAGCCCTTATTTTTATAACAAGGAACCAAATTATAACTAGTCTTGTATTTATTCCCTCACAAATTCTTACTAGAAGAAACTTACAGTACACAATAGAAAGCAGTAGTTTAAATAGCTGAGAAAGCAGTAGTTTAAATAGCTGAATTTCCTTAGCATAAAGCAAGTATCCCAAAACTCATTACATAGAAAACTATCTAAAAATGTGTACTACATACCTGAAGCTGTTGGCGCCCTCTGGTGGTTAACTGAGCATTTGGTCAGCGACTATGTAGGTATCAGATTAGAAAGTCTGTATTTTATCTACAATAGCGTTTAGTCTGGTTTTTCACTATCATACTGCAGTATTAACATTTTTCTTCTAACACAATATGGATTTTCACAGTTTATTTCTCAAAAATGGAAAGCCACCTGACCACAAGTTGAAATAAACAAAACCAGACAACTAGAAAAAGTGGCAGTTATTTCAATTAACTTAGCTTATCCTACCTAGCAATGAATGTAGGTCTATAAAGAGATGGAAAATTACAGGCATTTAAATTTAAATATTATACGGATCAAAAAGGGTAGAATATCTAGAGAATTTTTAAAAAATTAAAAATAACGAGGAAGAAGTGAATGCATATATAGATAGTTCAAAGTTGCTCTTTACGGGTCTCTGAAAAGACTCCCATGCCAAATTAAAGCTAAGAACATAATAATTTTGCTCTGTATTCTCCTCCCCTAGAGACAAAAGGACCAATACAGAAATTATGTTCGTTAGCAAAGGGGGAGACCAATTAAGCATTTTTTTTAGTTACCTGGTTTGTTTGTTTGGGGTTTTCTTTACAACCTATGGTTCACCGTGAAACCCTAACCTGAGACAACACCATTCTGTGATTAAAGATCTGTTCTTGATAGACGTGGGTGGCAAATGCAGTTCATCTCTCACGGAGCTTACAATCTATTTAGTAGTTACACTTGACTTTTTTCCTTAATGTTTTTTGAAGACACCAATGCAAAACTGCTTTTTACCAGCAACTTGAAATGATGGATAAAGAAAAACTAAGCATAAATTAAGAACTTCCACAAGATCATAGTTGGAAGCATGGAAGCAGGGACAAAGACAACTGCTAGAGATTTTAGTGAATGCAGTTGTAGATACAGTTCGGCTCATGGGGTCAAGCTGATGAGGACATGAAGAAGGCTAACTGTCTGAAATACAGATACGGGAAAAAGCGCATGGAGTTTAAAACATGGAAAATAAGACCACATTTCTACTAAGAGTTAAGGGCACCAGAAGTTACAAAGATCAGGGTGAGAAGGAGAATAAGAAGTGACAGAGACAAGGGAAGCAAGTACCTGAAATTGGATAGTATCATGCAGAGATGATTAATCTGATGGCTAGTTGCCATATATTAGAGGTGTCAGCTGATGCAGGGAAACAATATTTGATCTATCTTCCCCT